GGCGGAGTTGAATGAACTATATTGGAAGATTTACCAGTATAGGATGGCAGAGCATTTCCACATTTTATTTAATTACTAAGGCTTTGCCACCATGTTGGCCAGTGAAGAGCCATCTCCCCCCCAAAAACCCCCCAATGAGACTTAAAATGACACCAATTTCATGACTTAGATTGGGTTTCTCTGTTGTACTAAACCAAACTGAGATTGTCGATTTTTGTCTTTGTTTGTTGTATGACCCCAATTGTTATGAATTATAAACTAGTGTTTCATGATAAAGGTGGGTTACCTTTAAAATGGGCATTCCATTTCACAAACCAAGGTTAAGCAAACCTGGTTTAGCGCAATGCATGAGCCAGGTTATAGCAGCTTTGAGGCTGTTCTGTGGACACTAGGAAGAACTGCAATCATATTGCAGTCACAACGCGTTAGTTGTTAAACAAAAAACCGAAACTGTCCCCTCAACTGTAGATCAACTTCACCAGCCTGTCCCTGCTCCCCACCTTCAATCCTTTGTATGGGACACATTTTCTCCCTGCTCTCCCTAAAATGCTGGAAAAAAAAATAGGCTTAAGTAAAGCACCACCAGGGCTCTCATTGATTTCTCTGATCCCTTCTATCTTATGGATTGCAGCATAATGGAGGAAACAGCCCATAAGGTTGAAATCTACTTGACTCAGGGAGGAATCTTTGGAATGCATCTCTGGCTCAGGTTCATTGGACAAACGTCCTGGAGTTTGAGAAGATGTTCTGATGATCTCCTGAAGTGGCATCCAACGAATGGTCTTGAACCGGTTTGTAATAGAGCTAACCCCTCTTTTTGTTTCTTAGAATGCAGAATTCCGAGAGTTTCTTCTCACCAAGCTGATCAATGCAGAAAATGCCTGCTGCAAGTCAGACAAGTTTGCAAAGCTTGAGGTAAGGAAAGGAAGGTTACCCTTGAGCAGGTAAGCAGGACAGCCTGATCAGTCCAAATGCTTCTTGCTTTGGAAGGTCAGAGCTGCTGAGATTACCAGTCACATTTTTGAAAGGACCTTCTGGAGCCAAACACAAGGAAAGATACGCTTGTGGCGTTGACTCATTATGAATTCTGCAGTTTCTTGAATTAATTCACAATTTCTGGACCATGGTACCGATGGAAACATTGTGCTTCAGTTCTTGCATTTCTCTGAATTTTGCAGTAGAGTTCCAGGCTCAGAAAAATACATTTGCAAATGCGAAATTTGGACAAAAGAAGTTTAGGAATATATTTACAATACCTTTAAAAAGTGTATTGAAAAATGGATTAAAATGTGTTTGTGTGTGTGCATGTATTCATTTCATGAGGATGTCTGATGGAATGGTCAGATACAATACTGAATAGACCAGAAATAGAGTGCTCCCTTAATCCTTATGGAATGGCATCCTAAAAGAGTCCTGACCGGATCAGACCAAAGGCCTCTGTTGTCTAGCATCAGCATGATAGGGGTCAATCTGCAGTTCTTGAAATGCCCATGTGATTATGCAACACCTTGCGGTCTCATGTTCTTCCAGGAAGTGCTGCTGAAGGCAATCTTTCCTGCAAAGAAACTATGCAGGGCATTATAAAGGTAGAAAGAGGAAGGAAGGAAGGAAGGAAGGAAGGAAGGAAGGAAGGAAGGAAGGAAG